AACACATTTTTCAAAAGTGTCATCCTTGATAGTGATCAATGCGTTAATAATTTCATCCCACGAATTATATAATGCTCGACACGCGTCTGCGCGAGCCGACCACCTGGTGTTTGATTAACTCTTAATTGTATTAGCATTACGTTTCATATTTAATTGCAAAATTGACCATCTCTGCGTTGATGCGGAAAAAAAATTATATAATTGTTGTATAAATCCAAAAAAAATTGATGCTTGTGGACAACTTTCTGCAGAAGATATGCCAACCAAATTTAACGAGTGAGCGCTACACGGTACGTANTCAACCAAATTTAATGAGTGAGCGCTACACGGTACGTAATAAACTAGTGGATTAATTTCTTTGATTTGAGCCTGAACTCCACTGTATTGACCTAACATATTACTAGCATTATCGTAGCTTTGCCCTCGACAGTCAGAAATGTCAATATCATGAGATTTTAAAGTATTAATAATGACATTAGTTAAATCTAAAGCTTTATGTCCTGGATTTGAAACAAAACATAAGAATCGTTCTACAGGAAGACCAGTTGCGAGGACATATCTCACCATAAATGATAATTTGTCGACGTGCGAAATATCTGGCGTCGAATCAATACTTATGGAAAAATATTTTGATATTTTTAATTCTCTAACAATATTATATTTTAATTTTTTCATCATTAACAAAATAAATTCGTCACATATAACGTGAGATAAATATGACGTAGAGCCACTGCCTTTACTTCCAAAACGAACTATATGATCGGCTAAAAACGGATCAAATTTTGCGATTAATTCGAGTGACATTAAGTAATTACCGTTGTGTACAGAACCAAAACACGAATCATGTCCTCGAAAAGGAAGACCACGAGAAGCTAACGATTTAATAGTTTCGACTACCCTTTTCAACACATTTCTCCAATATTCGATTTCTGTGTCTAATTGTTTAATCAATGAATTATCAATGCGCCCCAAGACATTACCTCTATGTTTTAAATTCATAATAGCATCTCGGTGCTCTTTACTATTTTCATGGTAGCTGAAACGGACAGTAGCATTTTTCCAATCATTGAACCCTTCAGTAACAAGTTGAGTTTCTAAAGATGTTTGAAATATCCGACAAGGCCCACAAAAAACTACTCCTAAACTTGGAGAATAAACTAACCATGAACGAACAATTGTTTCTCCATTAATTAATCGTCTATTAAACATAATTTTGGTCAAATATCTTGTTTTATCAGAATATATCCGTTTCGAGTTAATAAAGTCATTTGTCATATTTTGATTAAAACCATTTTTTGCAATATAGTCACGAAATTCGTCGTTAATAACCCATTTAGCTGGGTCTATCTCCAAAATGGTTTCATTTACTATCATATTAGTCAACTCATTTGACTCACAACTACCTTCTGGTTCAACATTATCCACTTCAATAGATTCACTAATTATTGTTGTTTCACTGTCACTAACCTGAAAATCTGTTTTCTTCATATTAATATCCATAATGTTACTACTATTACTACTACAAACACCAGAAGTAGAAGCTGGATTTTTAAAAAAATCAGTCAATTTTTGTGTTTTATTTAAAACATTTTGCAGTTTTTCACTTTTTAATTTGGCAATTTTTTTGTATTGGTCACCACTTAACCGTTTTCTATTCGAACTCATGCTCACAAAATAAAAAGA